TTCCCTTCTCCTTACTTATTTATTTATTTTAATATTTTTTTTCTCCCTCTTTTCGACTGTGGCACACTCCTTTTAATTATCCGCCTGAGGATTACCAGGCCGGTGGGAGAGGATGATTTTTTATCCTGTCACACCAAACAATACTGTTTTTACCACAGTGCTTTCTCTCCTCTTTGTATGTATCCTCATGAATGTTTCACCTGACAGCATGTTAAGGTGACTCTTTGAGCCTCTCATGTTTTAAGGTTGACATCACGTTTTAGCCTAGAAGTGGCTGTAATGTAATTATTTTTCCCCTAGAAATGGTCAAATCAATGTAATTCAGTATATTCTTGACTTTTACTTTGCATTGCAATTCCTCATTGTGGGTTTCATCACCATTCTTTTCTTGCTTTAATGTTCATTTTCCTCTCTAGCAATCACACACTCTTGCAAAGTCGAAATAAATCTGGCAAAAAAGGCCATGACACTGTATTCATCTTTGCACAAAACAACATTTTATTGACTTATCACAGATGAAATTTTCTCATTCAACTGCAGCAGCTCTCTTTGGAAAAAGAAAAGGCTATTGTATTAGGTGTGCTGTTGGTTTAGTGCTTTTCTCGTGCGCTGAACTACTTTTTGTGCCTGCAAGTTGTCAAGTGCATTGGAGGATACACAGGAAAAATGAACATCAGAAAACCACAAGAGTTGAGTGACAAAATATTTGCAGATGTGACACAATCTGATGTGCTGCTGGCTCACAGAGAAACACATTTGAGAAAGGAACTGTCTTATAGTTTACATCTCTTCTGTTTGTCCCCGGTAGACTTATTAATTATTCATTGGAGTGATACACTTCCAGTCAGGTAAAATATCCCTAAGAAAGCCTGAGTCTGACAAATCTCCTCTCCACAGCCACATTTTGTAAGTGCTTGTTTCTTTTTACTTTGAGAATCAACACATTTGAAGTGAAACGCCACATGTGACTGTCCTTCATGGCCTGTCTTCCTAAGTATGTCTTTTTTCATAAAAGAATCACAATGCTTTTAGGAGAGGAAAATTAATTACATTTGACATTTACAACAATTAGACGCCTGTGAGGCTGTCAGACATAGAATGAAACTATAAAATAGTCTTACAGGTTTATGCATCACAGCCATGCATACATCATGTATTGCTTTTGATCAACCCTATAGTGAAACATAAGTGTACCATTTAAATTAATATGATTTGACACTTTAAAGTAAATATTAATGATTTGCCTGTCAGTTGAATGCTGTATGTTTTCATTCAGTGAAACTATATATGTTGTGTGCATCAATGATACCCAGTGGCGGCGCCAGGGTATGGCTGGGGTAGGCTACAGCCATACCAAGAAATGGCTTAGCCCCACCTTAGCCCCACCATGAAAAGTGATGCAAATTCAATTAAATAATAAGCGAAATGCTAAATGTTGAGAACACGGATTGCGAAAATATACGGGTCGTGTCCACAGCACACAAACTGATCCTGCTGTAACAACAACAAGTGCACGTTACTGATGCAATATGGTTGAGACCATTCGGGCTTATGCTATAAGAGGGGTGCAAGGAATAGTCTAAGTAGTGGGGGAGTTTTATACACTAAAGGTGTGGAAATTCTCTGGCGTTATAATATCAGCTCGGCCGCGGTCAGATCAAAATGCCTCCGAATGCAATTTGAATAGACCTACAGCCAATCAGAGCAACGAAACGTTGGATCTGCGTCATGCCTTATTGATTGAGATCAATCGAAACCGCCATTCAGTATCCCCATTGGATCTTCAACGTGTACTATCATACGTCACGTTCACAGTGATCCCTTTTTATTTACTACAAGACAAATGTGCCGTTTTATTTCATACAGTTCCATTTTGATTGAGACAGGGAAATAATCTAAACCTCACGCGTGGCGTTTCACTGTCAAGGGGGGTAATATAGCGTGTATGTAATTACATTGCAAATACTGACTTGAGCACCACCACTGTATGGGTTAGCCCTACCATAGATTACCCAACAAAAATGCTCTGGCGCCGCCACTGATGATACCTGGAGAATATATTAAATTAATTTCCTCATAGTGGAAATACCTGTGCTGTCGTGTACATCTTTGTTTTAGAACTATGACTATTTTACTACAACCTCGTACTGTTAAAGGTCAGTGGCGGTCCTAGACTATTATACTGGGGGGGGCCGTGCTGGGGCCAGTTATTTTATGAGAGAGGCACAAAGGACACAAAGACGGTGTTCAAAATGTTTAGTTCAGTATAAATTCAGTCCCTACAGAAAAATCATCTAAATGGTGTTTGTTTTAGTAACATAACTTATGTCAGTGTCTTACATAACTACAATTTCATTACATAACATTGTCACAGGGGGGTCCAAGTTCAGTGTTACAGGTGCACTGGCCCCAGTTGGCCCCCCCCTTAGAACCGCCCATTTTTTAAAGGTAGTTCTAGTAAATACTTGGTTACAATCTTTTCTGTCTGTGCTGCTCTCATGTTTTGAAAATGAATCCAAATTTAAAAAAAAAAAATCTAGTCGACAATGTTGGCATTTATTGTGCATTAAAAAGTGTAAAAGGAGTTATGTGACGCACAATTCAGCCTGGGAAAAAAACTGGTAACATGAAATGCTCTTTTTGCAACGTGACTCTGAATAAAGTCTGCTTCATATCGTAGTGAAATGTGGTTGATTAGTTTGTGGGGTCGTAGTAGTGTTCACACGGTGCTACAGTTGAACACAGTCAGTATTAGGTTGCACTGCTCTGAATGCAAGTTTCTCTCACGATTGTCAAATTGTATCTCGGACAGTTTAGTGCCTCCTTTGTTTGTCTGTATGTCAAATATTCCCTGCACTTGGTTGTACTGTACATGTGTACTGTACATGTACTGTGCATCTTCATCTTGCCTTGCCCTGATTGGCGGTAAGGTTTTAAGGTGAAGGTTTGTTTTGTGACTCGACTCAGTGGTTGCTTGTTGAAGTGACAATGTGTCCAGCCTTTTATAAACATGTGTGTGTGTGTGTGACAGTGTTCTCACACTTGGAGGCAAGTTTGTTTGTGGAGCTGGACCAGAAAACAAAGTTCGGACAGATTTTCTTACAGCCTGACAGCTGGTCGCTGCATAAACACTAAACAAGAACATATTTTCACATCCTTGAATGTGAAATGTGAAACGCGATGTTCACTGTGACATTACCTTCAGTTATTGTTGTAAATAACATCACATGAGTCACAATTTATGACTCACACATATTGGTAAATTAATAGATATATAAATAAATACCGTACATGAAGTGATGTTTTCAATGTATTCATGCTCCAGTGTACAGGCGGTCCATATCTTGACAGCGGGGCTGTGAGTAACAGATGTGACAAAGCCTCTCCGCTCCCCCCGTGCATGCCTGGATCTCCTCCTGTCACTCCCATATCATCCACTGGCCACATATGCCACACTGAGATGTGCTGATCAAAGGCTGAGCTGTCACCACAACCTGACACTCCATGCCCCCCCCCCCCCACCATAGTGGCTTGTGAAAAAATGGTGAAACACAAACCAAAACATTCCCTCCTTCTGCCTTCTTCCAGTAAAAGCAACACAAATAATACAAATGAAATAAAAGGCAAATAAAACTATTTAAAAAAAATATATATAATATAATATATTATTATAATATATAATATAATAATAGTAATAATAAAAAATATTTAAAAAAAATAATACATTAGAAATGTCAAATCTCTTGCCGTACATATGAATAATTTTCTGAAAACACAGATAAATTATGTGCATAAATGCGAGATGGAAGGACAGCAGTCTCCTTACATTTTCTTGGCTCAGCATTAGTGTCAACTACAATACCCATAATTCTATTCAGGCAACATCTCATTGCTTAAGTCAGATTCACCCTCTGCGGGAACAAAGCATAAATGGCTGCTTTGTCCTCGAAAATTGAGGAGCTGAACTTCTCTCACATCTACTGCCACACGTGGCTGAGTCTATTGTTGCTCAATTGTGATTTTCTGAATACCTTGATTACACCAATCTTGCCAGCAGAGGTATATGCCCTCTCTGCGTGTCCATATGGGACTTTTATTATAGTGTGACTGCACTTTCAGCTCTGCTTCTCGTTCTTCTTCTAACATTTTTAATTATACAGTAGGGATGGTTGGAGGACAATGGAAGTGACATCATGAAGTGCAAAAAGTGTGCAATTATTGCAACAATTTGGATCGTTTAAGGAGAGACAATATGTAAGTCTCTACGATATACTTACGTTCTCCTTGTAGCACAGCCCAAACCTATGAATCCTGTTCAACAGCCTCATGACATATAGTATATTATTTGCTAATGTACTGCACTTAATGTTCAAATCATTTCTAAGCAAGAACAAGTGTTTTGGATGCATACACCATAACAGTTGTAAGACACAGATTTTGTAGAAAAGATTTGACATTTACATTAAGACACATTTATAAAAAAATGTATTCAATTTTGCAAAATCTTCCAATATCATCCTTTTTGTGAGGGGCTGCTGTGTCAAAGCCAAATGTATTAAAGGGGACCTATCATGCAAAATGCACTTTTGTACGTCTTTTATACATGAATATGTGTCCCCGGTGTTCCAGGGAACTCACCAAGTGTCAGAAAACACAACCCTCTCTATTTTCCTCCATACCCAAATCTCTAAAAAAGGGGCTGCAACGGATCTGATAAAAACTGATCCAGATTTGAACACTGTCCTGACGTCAGGACGGTGGCGCTACGGCTATTGGGCCAACTCTCCACCTATCAGGGGAATGTGGGGTTGGGCCACGGCTGGCCATTGCCGCTCGAAAGCGCTGGAGACGCTGTAGTACATATGCCAGGCCTGTAAGTGGCACTGTAGTCTGCCACAAAAGCAGCGAAGAAGACTTACCGTGCATGGTTATGTGGCACCCCTGGGATGTGTGACCACATTAATATAATAAGTATTATATTTAGAGTTAGAACATGCATTTATTTTGTACATCTGTTATTTTCATTTCACTAACGGGGTCGATAGATGCAGTGAGTAGTGAGGCGGAACGTTTGTGTTCGATTCAATGGTTCCGGGGTACCGATTAAAGCGACGGACGTTCCCGGGGTTTCCTCAGAAGTAATCTGGAAGGAAACTGAACACAGTAGGCTCGTCTCAATACCCCTCCTCGACTCCTCTCCTCCCCTCCTCCGGGACTTGACCCGGAAATCGATCAAGACACGCCATGTTGAAGGACGTCCCAATAGCTGAAATGCACACGGAGGAGTCGAGGAGGGGTGAGGGAGGAGGGGTGCGGGAGGAGACGAAAGGCAGGATACACGAGAGCAGACTACGCGGAAGTGTTTTCACTACTCGCGTATAAAAGCCCCGCCCCCACCTTCACAGCTGGTCGATTTCAACAGAGGAAAACGGAGAACTGGAAGAATGAGTGGAAAAGCGTCACATAAATGTATAAGTGCTCACAGCTCCGTGGGAATTATTATGTGCAATTCATTTCTTAAGGTTATACTAACAATTTAAGTCATGTTTAATGATCTTGAACGTCACTAAAACATAGCTATTAAGAAAGCTATTTCATAAATGGCTAGATCTTGATAAATAACAATTATTTGTTTTGTTTTGTGTTAAAATATTGAGTAGTTAAATTATTTAAAATGCACAGTCCTGAATGTGGGTTTGTGGTGAATGTGGGGATCTACAGGACACACATGTTCAGAGTAAAGGCTTTCACATTATTATAATTATAATTTTATTGAAATGTACATTTTACACCAAAACGGAACACAAAAGCAGGACCAACCATCATACATTGAATTCCTTGACTAACAAGAGAAAGATTCATTATTTAAATACATATTTAACAACAAATGGGCCGGTTCTAAGGGGTTATTCAGTTAAGCCCGATGAGAGGGGATACAGCTGTGCACATGTCATCATTAACAGACGTCGTTTAAGAGTGACGTTTGAGTGAACGAGGACATCCCAATTAATACCTGAGGACTCCTCTGTCCTCGCGTCACCTCCTCGTGTCTCTCGCTCGCATCTTACGGAGGCGGAGCTAAGACGCAAGGAAGGGACGCGAGTGAGGGAAAGGAGGAGTCGCGAGGCTAAGGTGTCCTCATTACTTCTGTTTCACCTGCACCATACAGGTTGGTAAACTGTGCATAAATCACAATGAATCCCCCATAAGGTTTGCGAAGATAATATGTAACGGCCCGCTAACAGTTAGAAGACTTTGTACCGCTGTTTACATGTGTAAAACCGTTAAATGGTGTGAGTGTATTAGCCTAGCTTCCCCGGTACGGCGCCATTTTGGGGACAACGTGGTCTGACGCAGTAAGGATACAAGTTTGTCAGTATATCTGAAGCCTCCCGTACACTGAGTATTTACATACATGTATAGTGATTGTGAGTTTGTAATAAATATGTACTTTGTAAGGGTTATAAGTTAGTTACTGTTGGTAAAACAGTAAGGTTGTTTGTTACACTTAAATATGTTTCAGTAATGCATTTTAGTGACCTGCCATTAATGGCAGAAGGTAAATAGTCAACATGACAGGTTAGAGGGGTCATGAAATACTACTTTTAAGTGAAAGTAAAAAGAAGAGTAGTATTTAATACAGGTTAATACTGTATACAAATGTATTTAAGGTACAACAGATTTTATTGAATGTGAAATTCTATTTGACATATGTGTTTATCACATAAAAGAGTAACATACAGACAGAGTGAAGGTATGTGAATGGTTATTGAGGAATGTAAGTCGAAACTGAAATGCATAAGATAATTGATATGTTTATATGATTTTGTGTAATAAAACAACCTCAGGAGAAGTAATCTGGAAGGAAACTGAACACAAGGTGTCCTCATTACTTCTGTTTCACCTGCACCATACAGGTATCATAACCGTTACTGTGGTCCTCATATCGGGGACCCGTAACAGTTCTTGGGGGCTCGTCCGGGATCGGCGCCACCTACTGGTCGGGAGCTGATCCATTAATGACTTCTAGGACCAATACCGGAGCTGATGCGAGCAGAGAGCTGTAAGCTGGAGCAGACGTGGAACCGTTGCTGAACTGAGCGATCCATCGTGAGTGAATTGGAAGAGCTGCTGTCATGTCGGAGAGCCAAAGGAAAAGTCTGGTGTGGGACATCAGAAGAAGCCTACTCTCCTTGTCAGCGAAATAACTCCTCCACATTGCCAAGGAAGTGGGTCCAGTGCCAGACCAGGAACCGTCTGAGCTCGAGGAGGGAGACGATGAAGGCTGCTTCAACTACATCAGTTTATTTATGCACAGTAAGCACTTGCTTGAGTCAGAAGATAGTGGGATGGCTCACTTGTTGATGTTGAAAGATGCTATTGATGACATTGTGAAAGACAGAGAAGTAAGTGTACAGGGTTTGCCACATGTAGAACCACACTTAGAGATAAACACAGGTAACAACACTAAGCAGATATCTGAAGCTGAGACAGATCTCACCGCTTCTCCAGTCAGTTTTAATGCTGTAGGTGATAACACAAATACTGGGTTACTGGAAATGCTTAATAGCTATGAAGACCTGGGCAAAAGGTTAAGACAAAGCATTATGGCACCTACAACACAGACACTAGAACAACCCCCACTGTCACCAGCACACACTAGTAAGTCTCATCATAACATCCCACACTCACCAGCTCAGTCTGCTGCCCAGTCCGGCCCTGAGACAATGATCTCCTTAAGAGGACTCTCTTACCTCCAGAGGAGGGAGTTTAAGGTGCAAGGGGGTCAGGTTGGTGATAATTCTTCGGACATAAGCTATAACAATGTCTGTAAGCAAATCGAGGAAGGGATTAGAGAAGGCGTCCATGACGGAGACATAGTTCGTGGTGTGCTCCGAATTATACAACCTGGAACTTTCAAAGACATGCTAATAAATAAGGATGACCTGACAGTGATGGAGCTCAAAGGCTTTCTCCAGGCCCACTTAAGAGAGAAAAACAGTACGGAGTTATTCCAAGAATTAATGTGTGCTAGACAGGATGATAATGAAACACCACAACAGTTTCTCTACCGAGTGATAGGGTTAAAGCAACGTGTCCTATTCACCTCCAAACTGTCAGACGCAGGCATTAAATACAGTCCAGCTACTGTTCAAGATGTGTTTCTACATACGGTCTTGCAGGGACTTGGATATAAACACAGTGATGTACGCAGAGAACTAAAGCCTCTTCTATCAAGTGGTGAGGTGAGTGATGAAACAATATTACGCCATGTAATGAGAATCACCAGTGAGGAGAGTGAGAGACAGAAGAGGATAGGTCCTTCTCGTCGGCAGGCAACAACTAGTGCTCATAGCGCACAACTTGAGCTTAACAAAGTCCAAGAGTGTGGCAACAAACAAGAGAGCACAGCACACAAAACAAAGACAGACCCAATAAAAGAGCTTGCAGCCAAGGTAGATGAACTAACCAGCATGGTTGAGGCTATGAGACAACAAAAGCAGCAACATCCGGCAGACATGATGAACCATAACCAATACTCTCAAAACAGAGTGAGACCCAGGAGAGAGAAACCTTTTGGTTGTTCAAAATGTGTCGAACAAAACCGGCCAGATTGTAACCACTGTTTCTATTGTGGGGATGGAGGACACAGGGCTGTGGGCTGTTTAAAGAGACAGGAGAGTCAGGGAAACTCAAGCCGGTCACTGCAGCGGGGTTGCCAGTGATCGGATCCACAATACGACCCCAAGCTGAACATTCTGGTGAGTCAAAAGCACAAACCAGTTGTGAGGGCAAAACAGTTGAAGTAGCTGGTGCCCAGAATAGTTACCAGCAAGATGGACCCTCGACTCAGTTTTCTTTTGGTTCACCAGGGGTGAAACGTAGAACTGTTGCCAAGCTGATAGGGAAAAAGTCGCTAATACAGTGTAATCTAAACAGATTGGCAGTGACTGCATTGCTTGACTCCGGTGCTCAAGTCAGTATCATAAGCCGCGCCTGGAAAGAACAATATCTGCCTAATCTTGATGTTCGACCAATATCGGAGATTATCGAGGATCTGGACGAGCTGAAGGTGTATGCAGTTAATGGCGAGCTTATTCCGTTTGATGGCTGGGTAGCCATTATGACCAACCTGCCAGGAAATGAAGAACCCAGTCTTTCCATCAGTGTTCCATTCCTAGTCACAAGGTTGGCCATGGAGAGACCATTGGTTGGTTTTAATGTTTTGGAGGAAATCATTGAGGGACAGCCAGAACGATTGATATGCACTCTGGTTAAACTGCTTCGTGATGCCATCAGTGTTCCGGTGGAGAAAGCCGAAGCAATTGTGAGCTTTATTCAGGCAGTTGAACCAAGTACGTCGCAGGGACGCCTAAGAACAGGTGTAAATGACATCGTCATTCCGGCTGGTCATGTCACCTGGGTGAGGTGTCGTGTTCCCCAAACCCTGAACCCCTCTGATCGTCTGGTGTTGTTTGAAGCTGATGAAGACAGTCATCAATTATCGCAGCTAGATTTAGGGACAGGTTTGTTTGAGATACAGAACCCTGCAAAGCCTTATGTCACAATTCCAGTAGGCAATAACACCAAACATGATGTCACCTTACCACGCAAGACAGCCCTGGGCGTATTGCAGCACATTGAAAGGTTTGTGGATGCTGAATCTCCTGAGTACAACATGTACTGCAACAGTCAATGAGGTCTCAACACAACCCCTTGAACCAATCCAAAAAGCTGAGCCGATTCCACCCCTGTGGCACCCACCAGTGGACCTCAGTCACTTGGAGGAGGAACAACAAGAGATTGCCAAGAGAATGTTGTACGAAGAATCAAAGGCTTTTGCGAGGGACGGAAATGACATTGGCTGTAACCCTAGCCTACAAATGGTGATAAATCTGAAGGACGATATTCCAATGCAAAGGACGTATACTTCCATACCAAAGCCGCTATTGAGGGAGGTCAAAGAATATATTCAAGACCTACTGGTGAAGGGATGGATTGTTAAATCCAAGTCTTCCTATTCTGCCCCTGTTGTGTGCGTACGGAAGAAAGATGGCTCTTTGCGCCTTTGTATAGACTATCGCCTGCTCAATCAGAAAACTGTACCAGACCGACACCCACTGCCTCGGATACGGGACCTACTGGACACCTTGGGGGGATACTCTTAGTTCAGCATCCTTGACCAGGGTAAGGCATACCACCAGGGTTTTGTGGTTGAAGGTTCACGCCATCTGACCGCCTTCATTACACCATGGGGGCTTTATGAGTGGGTGAGAATACCGTTTGGTCTTACGAATGCACCAGCAGCTTTTCAGAGAAGTATGGAGGAGATGTTGTGTTCTTTGAGGGATGAGTGCTGTATCCCTTACCTGGACGACATCCTGTGTTACTCCCAGACCTTTGAAAATCATGTGGAGGTGGTTCGGAAAGTGCTCCAAGCGATACAGAGTCAGGGAGTGAAGCTCCGCCCTGAGAAATGTGAGGTGTTCAGGGGAGAAGTTCGCTATGTTGGACGCCTGGTCTCTGGTGAGGGTGTTCGAGTCGACCCCAAAGATCTAGAAGCTGTACTGGCCCTGAAAGCGAAAACACCGAAGACCGTAGGTGACCTGAGAAGAGTCCTCGGCTTTCTCAGTTACTACAGGTCGTACCTACAAGACTTCTCAAAGATAGCAAAGCCATTATACGAGTTGCTCCAAGTGAAAGCCTCAACACAAGCTCGACAGATCAAAGCTAAAGGCCCCCAGCTGTCATCCAGGGCGCCTATAGAGTGGACTGCTGTGCATCAGACTACACTTGAGGAACTGGTTGACATGTTAACGCATCCTCCAGTTCTCGGATACCCAGACTTTGACATGCCATTCGTCTTGCATACCGATGCATCGGAGCAAGGACTGGGAGCAGTTCTTTACCAAAAGCAGGACGAAAAGCTGCGAGTCATTGGCTATGGGTCACGAACCTTGACACCGGCTGAAAGGAATTATCATTTGCACAGCGGCAAATTAGAGTTCCTCGCGCTAAAGTGGGCAGTGTGTGAGAAGTTTAGAGATTACCTCTTTTATGCTCCTCACTTCACCATTTACACTGACAACAATCCACTTACTTATGTTATGAGCACGGCCAAACTCAATGCGGTCGGTCACCGTTGGGTGGGGGAGTTGTCAGACTTCCGCTTTAACATTAAGTACAGACCTGGAAGAATGAACATTGATGCGGATACACTGTCCCGTATCCCTCTTGATATAGACCACTACATGTCAACGTGCACAGAAGAGTTGTCGCAAGATGTGGTGAGTGCAACCTGGGAAGGAGGTCAAGCAGCTCAGAGAAAAGATGTTGCCTGGGTAGCTGCCCTCTCTGCCTCCTCCCTTGACGTTATCCCACAGCCGTGCACACCTCTACAGG